TCACCCACACGCTGTGACGGCAGATGACCGCCCCTCCCTGACCCTGGTTCTACCTCTTCCTGTTAAAAGGGTGTTTTTCCTTCCTACTGTCCCCTAAGCACTTACTCACCCAAGTTTGTCAATGCGATAACTTGAGTACAAGGTGACGCTGGGTTTTCGAACTGATACCACAGTTTTATCACCTAATCTCATTGACCTTGACCTCAAAGTCAGAGGTCATCTTTTTAATATGACGTCTAATAAAGCACAAATCTATACCTACGATTAATACTGCCATGGTTGTTAAGGTTTGAGGTTATGAACTCAGTGATTTTAACTTATGAGAGTCTCACTTCAAAGGGTGACTGGGCTTCAAAGGCAACTGTGACTCATTATTGTTTGTGTGACAATTAAAATAATTGTTGTTGAGTGGCTACATACTTAATCGAAAGTAACATCTTGACCCTGAAGCACGTTTTATTTTTTAAACCATTTTTAGAGGAAACTGATGACAGCAATTATTCAAAATACATCTAAATTTCATTTGTATACTGTATCTGCTATGCTTGTACACATCATGTCCATAATAAATGCCATGACATATTTAGCCTGTACGCTTTAGGATATCTGTATGCTTGTAGTTGCTCAATGTACAAATTAAATATGCATCATGGGATTTTGCTAGGAGTTAGGAGTTAAGGTTATTTGAGAACCTTGAATATAGCATCACCTGTGGTTGATTATTGGGAAAAAGGATTAAATTTATGATATAAAATTGACCCAATTATGTTGAAAAAAATCCACTAATACTTTATAACTCAGACAAATTATGTTTTGTGTTTCATTTGTCATTTAAATACACTTCAAACTCACCTTTTGAGCTCTTTGGTGTTTTATCAGGATCATAATATGACATCCATGCTTCCCTAAGGAGGTTAATCAGCTTTAATGAAAGATGCCATGATTTTTAGGGGTGAATGCAACTAGATGATTAGAGCATTCCTTCTCTTACTAGTCAGCACCAGAAATACTTGCTGGTATCATATTTTATTATTGTTAATGGCAATAAACTATCAGTTGTAAGATGTTACTCAGCAAACTGCCTCTAGTCCCAGCAAACAGCAGCAGCTCGCTCCGTGATGGAAGGTTGTAAACAAGCAAGGTGAAAGGAGAGCTGATCTAAGCAGGCAAAGAGGAGGAAGAGATTGCTTTGAAGATAGTGGTTACTAACAGGGAGCTAATGGAGCTAAACGGCTAAATAATTATTCACAGTTGCTTTTAGCAACTATACAAAAACATAAAACACAAGCATTAGCTATGACTGTAACATGACTATTTATGAAAGGACACAGATAGCCAACTCCTGTATTTTGGCTGTGGTAGAGTAAACTGCCATATTCTCTCTTGTAATCTGAACAATGCATAACTACATTGAGCAGAAGGGCATGGATGCAAAGAAGAAAAGCCTGCTAGCGCTAGCACCACTAACAGCAGCAAAGTGAGCTGGTATTTTGTTATGCACAGTGCAAACCACTACACAATTTAGCTGCAGAATATGATTAATTGATTCAGTTAATCACTGAATCAATTAATGTGCAGTATGTATTTAAGTGCAATGAATCAATTCATAAATACACACATAAAATCTATCAAGACAGTCGCTTAGCAACTTATCTCCTTTAGCTTATTTTACTTTGTGGATGTTTTCTGAGTAACTGACACTATAGTTTATTAGTGTGCTCACTTGATTGCTTGGTTTTCAGTTTTGTTATGCATTTTATAGGATTTTTAATAGCTAAACACAGTTGCACAGCTGAAATTCCACTATAAAGGTTCCTTCGTGTCCAAACAGTGCTGGATAGTTTGCATTGTTTAGACTCTCACCCTCTATCGGGGACTTCTGTATGTCATTATGTAACACACTGGCATAATTTTGTTTGGCCCTTTAAAAAAAAAAAAAGAAAAGAATAAACAGCTGCCTCGCTTGCAGTTTTGGTTCAAACTTTGATTGATCTGGGTGGTTCATGTTAGAAGGGGGAGAAGCTCTGAAAATGTCTGCGTATTTAATAGAAAGAGGCACTGTGTCAATGTACAGGATGAAAACAATGATGTGTGTAAGATGTGCACTCAAAGTTTTGAAACATTTAGGACTCATAAAAATTAGACCCATCTGCCCACAGGCCTAACACCTCCGTGACTGGCCCCGGGGCTGACATACCACCACATCACACTGGAGTAAATGCAACTTGCTAAAGTAACAGAAAGACAACTGTGATGTCTACAGGCATGGGGGAAAAAATGGAGAAGCCCATTAACCACAGGTCCCCACAGACTGACCGGATGGGGTAACCTTCCAAACAAGCGAATCCCTCATTATCGAATCTTTCATTCAAGAATCATTTCCAGTGGATCAACTTCTAGATCTTTTACAGTTTTTCCACACATGAATTCTTTACAAAAGCAGAAAGACAAACTGCTCACCCATCAGTACTTCATCTTTCGACCTTATGCTCGGCAAATTCATTGACACAACCACTCCAATCTAAAGTCCTGACAGTGCATTCATTCCGCTCTCTTCTTCTTTTACGCAACTTTTTTTTTTTTTTGCTTTGGCTTGTTAAACACTTAAAATGCTGCTAAAAGACACTTGTTGCCATAAAAGCGATCCCACACATACAGTAATACACTTTCCAGCACGACCAGTGCCAGCAAAACTTTTCAGAAGCTCCGCCTATTTTTAATTAGTGGAGTTTGGAATAATTGAGTAAATATGTGCAGCTAAAATTCAGTTCATAAGGAAAATGTAAACTACATAGAGTTCAGCTCTGGCTCCCAAGAAGATCCAGGACTTGACAGCAAATATATGCATTCTTTGCAGTGTGGAAGTGCCCGCTTAATACTGGGCTGCTTTTACCTTCTGGGCCCTGGGGCATTGTTCTGGCTCCCTCTTCTGAAGCTGAGACATCCTTTCTCTGTTGAGACAGCATGTCTCTACAATATCCAAGGAGCTTTAAGATTCCTGCAGGCTTGCTGTGACACTGTCATTTCTAAAGCTGGAAACGTACGCGCGTAGAGCTGGAAAAACTTGTTATTAATATGTCATACTCGGTTATGAGAATCATTTAGTCTAAGAGGCACTTGTTAAATAAAGCTGCTCTTAGTTCAAGTCCCAGTCACTACAGAGTTTCCCCTCAGAGGTTTGGTGGAATATCACAGTTTTATTTTCATTGTCAGCCAACTTTATCTCCACTCAGAGGGTTGGGCAAAAGTAATTTGACTCTGTCACAGGAATTTCTGCCACGGGAGATTCATAAATTAGTCTCTAATTAAACAGACAGCAGATTTTGCATGATGAGGAGCAGTTAATGTTGTCCTAACTGAATAAGCCTAGTTGAGTTCAGTATCAGTATATTAAGGTCCTGCTCAGGTTAATTTTTTATGCAGATTAAATAATGTTCTCAGTGTGACTGCAAAACTAAGCAGATAAAGAATGAAACAAGGGTAAGGTGCTTGCATATTATAGTTCACTATCTCGCATATTTCACGTAATTGAATTCCATGATTGGGAGAAATGAACTTTTAACAAGAGACACCGTCAGTGTCGGTGCTTGACTCATCCTCTGTAGCTACAGATGTAAGTAACTGAAACCTTGTGCAGAAAAACACTACAGCTCTGATAGAAAGATGAAAGCACAGCATGGAGGTGCTTGATTTGATATTATGAGTGCTATTTTGAATTTCCCTTGTACTCAGCTCTGTGTTTAAGCCGTGACATTTAACAAATATCTATCTGATTTGTAGGAACTGCGTTCAATTAAAAGCTAAAATTGCAAGGGTTTGAACATTAACAGACAGTTACCAGACCTTAGATCATACATAAGAGAGCTTAGGTGTGGCTCACCCTTGACTGAGAGTGTTTAGATTAATGTAGAGTTGTGTGTCAGTATCGTGAGTGACTGAAAGATGTTTTTCCTTGTACTTAACTGAACTCACTTTAAATGATGCTGCTACAAACCAATCCAAGACCAATTAATAGATATGTACACACAGAGTCAGACAGTATACAAATGTTTCTTTAACTTCAAAGAAACTTTTTCCCCTTCATCTCTGTGTTCTCACTATGACATTTAATGAATCTCATCCTAAGTGGTTAAAACACACTCGCACACATGCACACACACAGACAAGACTGCATGCACGCCAGCTTAATATATCTCTCCGCTCTTCTGTGGAGCATTTCAAATGTGGCACATTTTCCACCGCAAGATCTGAAATGTTGTTAGCACCACTGGCATTTTGCACTGCACAAAAATATTTCCTTTCCTCTCATCATCCACAGGTTTCTATATTTCCCATTGTGGCGGCAATCCCTGTGAAACAATCATTTGCTTTCATGCACGAGCACAACGATTGATCAAAGATGTTAGATTGCTACGAAGTGGCTGTGAGGTACAGACACAAAATGAATATTAAATGATATCTGAGCTTTGGATTGGGATGGTGTCTCACCCATAGGGATGTAATGGAGGGCGATGTCAATATGGAAAGTGTCTTTTTCTACTGAAGGGATGGGAAATCGGTGCATCCATTTCCAAGAAGTCAAACTTGGTAAGCTGAGATTCAAATGCAAGGGAGTAGATTGCAGGTGAAGTGTTTTTCACATTACATTAATCTAAGCTTAACCATATCCATAACCCTCTGCAGAGTCTCTCTGCTCTCTCAGAAGACTTGCAATCAAATGCTCTGCAACTCCTTTTGCCTGCTGCCTGTTTCTTTTAGTTGTGGAGAGAATCTCTAAATATGCTTCCAGATTGCATTTCACTGAGACCCTGGGTACAGATCAGGCATTACATAAAGGCAACACCTGCAATTTACTTGAATTTTTTTTCTTCTCTATTTTCCAATGAGTGAGGCCACCAGATGTTTTTATGCTGCTGCTTTCAATGTTGCACACTGCACAGCTAAAAGTGAATCAGTTGATTGGGACTAACTGTCTGCTCTGTCTCTCTCTGTTCGCCCAGCTGGATGCTTGGTGAAGCATGGTGGTGAAGATGGTTAGAATGCGCTTAACGGGGCCGCTGTCATGGGGCTGGTGCAAATGGTCAAGTGTAACAGGAATGGGAGTCCTGTATCTGCTGATGCTATCAACCTGCCTTGGCCAAGACACGGAAGGTAAAGCGAGTTTCTCTTTGCATGTCCTGATCACTGTCCTCCCTCTCCACTTTGTCTCTTTGTTTTGTCTCATGTGTCTCATTCAGTACTTCAGTCTGCTTTAATATCAGCACTGTGCATGACTTTTTTGAGTCAAGGCTTATTTTAGGTAGTAAAGTGCAGGATTTTTTATTCTTTCATGATTTCATGTGTGACAAGGTCTTGTCTGGGGATCTTGAATGTAATCGCTTTTACTTTTTATTCTAACATCTACTGCAGCTTTTTTCCTGTTTATATTACATTTTATACCCATTTCTGCCAGTACTTCAGAATTAATACCATCTGCTTAAGCCACGCTTCGTGGGTTATTGATTCTTTTTGATTTTATGACTTACATGCAGTGTACCATGTAGCGATAGTCCTCCCTGCTCACCCTGAAAAAAGTAAATTTTTATCTCAATTATGCATAAAATAATGATGATTTTTAAATTATTTTTTTTTGCTGAATTACTGTCATGGCTCAAAGTACTGTATTGCACCTTGGTTCAGCAGACCAAACTATATTTCTGCTGTTGAAATACCAATATGGTGGTTTGAAGAGGCTGCATATGGAAAAGTAATAGCTTTATTGGTGTTTGGATTTTACACGTAAACACAGTTGTTCAACGTGTCCAGCACGTAAAGTCTTGGAGGAGTTGCCATAGTTCATCTCAGTTGCTCGTGTCTGTTTATGAAATCCCAGAATGCCATGATGAAGTTACGATCAGGGCTCTGCGGGGGCCATACCATCTGTTGCAGGATTCCTTGCCTCTGAAGATGGTTCTTTATGACTCTGGCTGTATGTTTGGGAATGTTGTCATGCTGCAGAATGAATTTGGGACTAATTAGACACCTCCCTGTTGGCGCTGCATGACGGATAAGAATGTTGATAGTAAACCTCACAAGACTCCAAAAACAGTTGGGGAGGCAAACCTGACAGTGAACCACCACAGTGAAACTGCAACCTATTACAAGCTCAAAGTTAGAAATAGCAATTTAATGGGGATCTTTATGTTGTAAATGTATATGGTCATCACCTAAAGTCCTTTGTCTTGTTTACAGACTGATTTAAAGATGGACTAATTTAGTAAATGTTACGTAATAGTTGCATTTATATGAAAATTTCATTGAAATTACAAATAATATACAAGAAGAAGAAACAAAAGAAGCAAAAGCAGAATAGCCTAACCAAAGACATGCTATTGATTCCAATGTAAATGTTAAGGTGGGTGTCAGGGCTGCACTGGCCATCGGGCATACCGGGCATTTGCCCAGTGGGCCGCTCGTGATTTTTCATTTTTACGGGCCGATGGGGTTTTATTTCTTTTCTTTTTTTAACGGTATAAATGATGTGGTGGATTGGCCAGTTGGTCATGATCGACTCTGGGCTGAACCAATTACAGCCGAGGAGGTCGAACTTTATAGTTGAGGTGAAAAGGAACGCAATTTGTCCCGTACTACTTCAGCTAGAAAGATGCTAATTCAGTCATGAAACTGATCAATGATCAGCTGATTGGCGTTTCTCTTGCGCCAGAAAGAGGAAACCAGTGGAGGTCGCGCTACACAACAGCAGCACGTTTAAGCTTGATCAGCTGTTGTTAGAATGTATTTAATGTTAATTTCTACTATCAGCTGATGTTTGCTGGAGCCACAGCTGTAAAAGCTGCTCGTCATGATATCGGTTTGGATATGTGGTGAGAGGGAAACATGAAGATGAAACCAGGAGATGTCCTTACTGAATCATCAGAGCTGAACAGGTGACGGAGAAACAGGTTTACCTTTTAGGTGACATGAATGAGTTGAAGGGAAGTTATGAACCGTTTCTGAGAGACAAATAACACCAGGATCCTTTTCTATGTAGCTGACAGCTGGTAACTGTGCAGGGGCGGGTCTAGCAAAGTTTTGCCAGGGGGCCAGGCAGGGCATTAACAGGGAAAGGGGGGCACAAAGAAATACTTTTCTTTCTTATTCTCATTTAAAATGTTTAGCTTTCAATAAATAATTATCTGAATCTTCCAACCAAAGTTTTCATCTGATGTAAAATGTATAGAAGTCCATTATTGTATTCAAATATCAAGTCTAGTATATACCCTAGTAAGTTATAGTATTCTTTCCTTTGGGAAGGTACCATCTGTGCAGTCTGCAATTCTGTTGAAGAAAGATGTTCAATCCATTTAATTACTGGAGAAAAATAATAGATTTCTGTGCATTTGTTTTATACGTGCATTAAATTAAAATCGGTTTTGTCAATTAAGCATCTTGAGGCAGAGGGTACGGGAGTGGTTCCCTTTTTTTTTTCTTTTTTTTTGCTGGGAGTTGGCAACCCTATTAGTTAGGTATATGTAATTATAAATTAGGTTGTTTTATATTTTTGCTAAATACTGTTTAGAATACCAGAATAGGGAGGATGGTGTAGGTTTAAGTTTATTATAAAGGCTCTTTGGCTTTTCCTATAATACCATGGTGGGCCGGTCACTAGTCAAAATGCCCGAGCTGATTTTTTTTGTCCCAGTCCAGCCCTGGTGGGTGTTTCAATCTTTAAATCACTTGCTTTACAGCCCAAGTGATAAAGAGTATCTCTTCTATCACTTCACAATATATCAGTAATATCCAATGAGTTTAACACGAGCAATAACTAAAGGGGAAAAGTTGCCTACAATAAGTTATTGTAATGCTGAAAAAATATCCACATTCTGATTTCTCTGAACCTAGGGGAAGCTGAAGCAAGGTGAAGGATAAATGAAGTCATCACCTATGGGAGAGCTCAGCGTAAAACTCTCTTGACTTTCTGCTCGATTTATCTGAATATTAATATTCCATTTAACTCTTAGTCCTTGAGATTTATCTGGTTGGCATTTAAGTGACAGGGGTGTTAGTCAGAGGTGAGAGTCTTTGAGCGCCCATGCATCTGCGCAGAGATAGAAGGGGAACGTGCACTGATCAGCCAAAATGTTAAAACAAAAAAAAACTAGCCTCAATTTTGGTATCTTGCTTCAAACTAAGTTTTAAAAATGCCTTTCCCCTTACAAGTTATCCTTATGTAACACATGCCCAAAGTTAAATGAGATCCAGCATCTTTAAAGGCTCAATCAAGAGTGTTCATGTTCATTTTATTTGGCTCATCCCATTAAAACATAGAACAAATACCATGTTATAACAAACACACTATCTATATATTTACTATATAGATATTATAGATATTATAGCTCAGTAACACTAGAGTAAAAATATAACAAGTTTTGTTCAGTTAGGGAACATTGGTGGTTAGCCAATGATTGCACTGAATTGTTTTGCAGTCAGAGACCAATTGCAAGTAGTTCCTGTGCAGGTAACCTGGTGGGAGGGAACATGTCTGCAAACAATTGTCATCCAAATCAAACTGATTGCAATCATTTTCCAACAGATTAAATGGCAAATACAAAGGTTTGCACATGTCTCTTTGCAAAGGAAGACTTGGCTCAACAAGTTGCAAGCCGGTATATGGCAGTCAAAGCAAAGTTACTGAGTACCTGTGTCATTTTGTAGTTAAGTTTCTTTCTTGCAACAACTATGTCACTATTTGTGGAAGAATTTCTGAATTACTGCTTTAAGTCTATGAGGTTCTGGCTGGACTCTGATTGTAAACAGTTTATATAGTGAATTTAAGTGAATCCCAGTGTATGTGGTCAAATGATCACATTTGATCTCTGTATTATCACAAAGAGATTGCATGCACTTGCTAACTTGATCCCATTCATTGATGGCTACATTCATTGGTCAGTCCTTTATCTGATTGATAAAGGACTGACCAAATTTGTTTTGGAAGACAGCAACAGAGTGCGAGTGGTCAGAGACCTGGTACCCATCTTTGCAGTAACCATTTCAAAGGCAAGAATACTGCAATGTCATTGCACACAGTTGCAATAATTTGGTAGTGCTGTGGGCTCAAACACCAGTTTTCCAAGTGTGACTATAGGATTACTCACACTCAAATGGAGGAGTAGCTTATAAAAGTCTTGCAATGTGGTAGACATCGTCCAACCCTACCACACATGCCTACTTGGATTCAGTTACAGATCCGGTCATTATCCTGGTGGAACTGCTTATAACAAGAATAGTATGTTTTAATGAGCCTGGGTACCCTTTTGACAGACAATGTTTTACTCAGTTATGGTCCCCTTATGACACAAGTGCTGGTGTTTTATTAATGAGCCCATGTCCCAGGATGAGCGGTTGCTTTTAGCTTTTTGGACCATCACACGACAAGGATACTAGGTTGTTTTAATTAGCTTTGCTCCCTAGGTAGGAATATATTTACTCACTTTTCGTTTGCCGGGTGAGAAGTGTACCAGTATATTTTTAATGAGCCTCAATCCCAAGATGATTAAACATACAATGAGTCAAATCAAGCTTTTGGGCAAAGCTGTTGAAAGTTGTAATTACTCCAAACTCGTATGCTCTTGTTTGTCTTCGTCACTAGAAACTTGGCACTACCTCCAATTAATAACATCTTAGTACTTATTGCTGAAATCATTTTGATTTGTAGCACACAAATTGCTTACTTTAGCCGTTGTCAGCTTATTCACATCTAAAATTTCTCTGCGAGACAAGTGAGAAACATTAATTGAAGTTTTAACTTGACTGATTATGAACTAATTTGAAGCTAGCATGTGCATAGGTGCTTCACTGTTTGTTTTAATTGACTGTGACTTATCAACGCATGTGAACAAGAGCCAACAAAAAAGGCTGAAATGTTATGCTCAAGTGGTCACACACTGAGCTTGATGGTCAACATGCTCTTTTCTAAAGACTAAATACTTTAATTTGTTTTGCTGAACCTGAGTAATTACCTCTATGTCAGGATGGTAAATTAAAAAAAATGAAAACTTCACCATACATAATCAACTAGATATCCCGCTTTTCCCCTTTGTCTTCACCCTGTCCTGTTATGATAACTTTGTCATACCAGAAACCTTTTTAGATGTTCTAGGAAAAAAAATGTG